TTTGCGTTATGTCATCAGACAGATGGCATCTCATGGACCACAGTGATCTTCAGACAACATGCTGGAAACTGGCTCCGTGCTGACTCAGAAGAATAGCTCCTATTGAATCACTAATGCTATTTCCTGCAGCACCTTGCTTTTCCTGGATGTCCTCTATAAACGGAGGGCCAGACTTGAAAAAGTGTTCAGCCTCCAGAAGCTTCCATTGTTACACTTATCACCAGACTGGCTCAAAAGCTCAGCACCCAATACACTGGTTCTTTTGAAAATCTGTCCTCTTACCTTGGTGCCTAAATAGAAGCTGAACACTCTTGCTAATTTGGCTCTGATTGTATGTACAGAGCTCCTTTCAAAATCTGGACCCTACTGTCAAATGATGGATATTGCATCAACGTGCAATATCTTTGGGGACCATAATGTATTAAATGTATGCATGGTTTACATATCACTATGGGCCAGGGACTGTATGCAACTCCAGGAGGAAGCTCCAGGAACCAAAAACAGTGGGGGTGATTAAGATGAATCACTTAGGTTGTAAACACTTCCAGAGAGGTACCTCCCACTGCAGAGGCTTCATATACTGCTTCTAACTGGGTTTTCCAGAGACCAACAGACAAAGAAAGGGCTTTTGATGTAAAACAGCTGGGTTTAAACTGACTTAGGCCTTCTTTCTGATCCAGAAAATAGACAGGATCATCTGTTCATGGGGGAGGGGAGGCAACCCTTGTGGAAGGGTTGAAAAGACTTTGGCCAATTTGGGCCCCCATAAGACTGATGGGTGAGTCCTGTTATGTTTACTGTGCTTAAATCTGTTTTTATTATGTTTTCTCTGTAATGTTTTTGCCTGAAGATTGAATGTGCTTGCTTAGGAAAAGTGGAGTATTAACTGCTGGTAAAAACACTGTCATTGCCTGCGGAGGGAAAACAAAGTGCAGGGGCTGTCCTTTAGGCAGTCTGTTTTGCTAGGGATATCACAGAGGATGGCAAGGGGTGTGCAGCCTTGAAATCCTGGTTAGGAGGGGGAGAGATGTGGTTCTCCATCCAAAAGAGGAGCTGGCTGGGAGCGGGGAAACCTTAAGTGGCTGTCCTTGATGGACAATGGAGGGTAAATACAGGTACCATTAATCCTGAAACTGTGTGACACTGAACCCTGCTGTCGAAGCCTACATTGGCTGGCTTATGAAAGCTGACTGGATCCCATCCTTAGGCAGGATGATGACTGAGTTACCTTTGATAACACAATCCCAGCACCTAAACATGAGCCGTTTATAGTGCAGCAGCAAAGGGTTGTGATGAATGAGCACCGGTGGCCATGCAGGTGGTTCTTCAAAGAGAATCTCTTACATAGTTTTTCTAGCACCTCAAGGCTCATCCCTCGGCCTGCGCCACTTCCCACAGCCCCCATTGGCCTGGAGCGGCGAACCGCGGCAAGTGGGAGCTGCAATCAACTGAATCTGCGGACGCGGCTGGTAAACAAACCAGCCTGGCCCGCCAGGGGGCTTACCCTGGCGGGCTGCGTGCCAGAGGTTGCCGATCCCTGCTCTAGCAGCATGGTGAGGAGAGAAGAGGGAGTGAGAAGTGGAGTGAGAGACAGAACAGCACCAATCAAGGATGTTCTGGGAACATCTACCAGCTAGAGAGCAACAGTCCCTAAAGAAGTATTGGAAAGTACAGTGCCGTATGCTTTCATGACATGTATTTACTGCTGTTAACGTTATGACTAATGTTTGCCCTTTCAGTTGAAACTCTGAATCACAACTAAAGAGCCACTCTTTACCTTTAGTCCTTCATCCAATTGCATTTTTAAACAATGACCTACTGCATGGCACCATTCTTATCTGCAGACACATCTCTGAGTATCCTGGTCTTGAAAGTCTGAGTCACAAATCTCCACTGACTCTTATAAATCTTTTTACCAAATCTGAACTATAATGTCTATATTTTGACAGACATTAACAAAATGAGGTTTTGGTTGATAATTAAAATGGATTTGGAAAGGGCCACTGAGTCTCATTTTTATATCCGGCACCCTCTGAGAAGGTAGTTTGCCCATACAAAGTGATGCAATTTCATGCCATTGCTTTCTACTTGAACTAGAGGGTAAAGGATGCTCCTTTATTTGCAGAAATGTGGTTTGGGAAGGAGAGGGGACTGGTGTGACCAAGTTCAACATTTGAGGCTCTCCCTGAAAGTCCAGGGGTGTGATATTGTAAAATGCGCTGTTATGGCTGACATAGAATTCAGCAGAGCAGTTAAATGATTGGTTTATTTGTTCCTCATGAAAAGTGTTGTACTGATGTCCTAGGGGATTTATAATTATTCACTAAACAGGGAAGGCACTGCCAGTGAATGCTCTCCCATCCCACCAATGTGCTGCTTCAAGTCACCACCTCTAGAACTCAATGGGCAATTCAGTTTCTATGCTCATTCAGCCTTTTGGACTTTCTGCCAGGACTGTATATGAGGATGCCAATTAGTACGAACTGGGATGGTGAATTTTGATGTGACCTGGGATGTTCCACTAGGAACTGAACTCAACAACTCATTTCACATAACCCACAGAACATCTGGAAGGTAACTTCTTTCAGCCACTACCAAACTAGTCAGACTTGAATTAATGACCTTTGTATTCCATTAAAGATTTCCTGAACCACCTCACTCACCTGCCAGTAGCTTTTTATGCTGGAAATGAATATGCTGAGATAGTCACTACTCTGATGTCACATAACATCCATTATCCACACCCTGCTAAATTACAACTTCAAGGCCTTCAATACATCCTAGTTAATTTAGATTTTTAATCCCTCAGGGCAAGAACCTTGGATCAGATTTTCCCCTATTTAAGAGGCAGGAAATGCAGAGAGTTTGGACTCGCAGATTTTCTGCCTGATTGGGCGAAAGGGTTTGTCACCTCACAGAATGAAAAAGAATTTCAGGCCCTTTGTTTAAACCAGGTAAGAGGACAATGAAAATGGATCAGTCCCTCTTTTTTTACTCTGTTCCATAAAACAAGGACTAGGAGGTCGCACAGTGAAACTAAGGGCAGGAATTATTTATTTTGAATGAGAGAAATAATTCTAAATCAGCATGCTCACACAGTTCCTCAATCCCTCCAGCCTTCACAACAGCATAGGATGGATCCTCCAGTGATCTTCCCCTTCAGGGGTTTACTGAGTGTCTGGAAAGGCAGGAGGCACCACTGGTCAACCTTAACTGTGTTAGTGAAGTTTTGGAACATTTAGTTTCTTGCTGGAATTCCTGCATGATTTACTCCTGAGGGCATTCTGCACCAAAAAATTAAAAATTCTATGCACAATATTTTAAAATTCTGTACATTTTATTTGTCAAATAAATGTGGAGGCTCCAGCATGGCATTGGGAAGCACTGGCCACTGGTTGCACAGAGGTGGGAGATCACTGTGCAGCTCTCCACCTACCCCCTGGACACTGACTCAACGGTGAGGCTCCACGCAACCCTGACACAGCGCAAGGACTGGGCCTGCCTGCCCCAGAAACACCCCAGGGCCCTGCCCGTCTGTGCCAAGTGCACCAGGTAGGCTCAGCAAGTCAGGATCCATGTGGAGGAGCTTAGTATGGGGGGATCCCAGTGTGGGTTGAGAGGGTTGTGTATGGGGCAATCTGGGTGCAGGTGGCTCAATGGGGAATCTGCATGTGGAGTGTTCTGGATGCACAGGGGCTTGTTAGTGGGTTCTGAGTGCAATGTTAATGGGACTCTACAGGGGGGTCCAGGTGGAGGTGGTTGGGGATCAGCTGGGGGGGGATTGGGGGTGAGGGGGATAGAGCTCGGCAGAGGGGGTCTGCATGTGGTGGGCTCAGTGTGGGGTCCAGATACTGAGCATGTGGGGTAGAATTGGTGCAATTGGTTGCGGCTTGGTGGGGAACTGGGTGTGGGTGACTCGTTGGGGTGGTCCAGGTGCAGGGCGACTCATCGGGGGCTTCTGAGTGCGGGGGCGGGGATGAGGGTTGGCAGGAGGGTCTGGGTATGACAGGGTCTGGATGCACAGGGGTTGGGCGGATGGGGGAGCAGCTCCCTGTACAGGGATCCTTCTCCCTGCAGCTGAGGAGCAATGGGTTGAGGAAGTGGTGGGTGGGGGTGGGTCTGACCTGGCCCTTGATGCCGTGCAGGGGAAGAGGGAGTCCTGTCCTCCCCAGCCCAGACTAGCAGATGAGCCCAGCACAGGGCCAGAGCCACCAGTCGGGTCTCCTCAAGTTCTACCTCCTGCCCCACAGTGATTTACCTCTCTGATAGCTGCCCTGGGGACCCAAAACATATTGCTGAGGAGGGTTGCATGATCGCTGTTGTGGCTTCCCTCTGCTTCCCCATCAGAAAGTCATTTTTCTGTGGGGAAGCAAAGAAATCTGTGGGGGAAATAAATTCTCTGTATGTGCAATGGTACAAAATTCCCCCAGGAGTAATGGTTGAAGGGGATGATGATGTGGAGAATGGCTGCCCACTCCAGCCCTGCCTCCTCCAGATCAATGATCAAAGGGGTAGAATGCATACAATATGAGCAAAGGCTGAAAGAACTGGGTATGTTTCACTTGGAAAAAGAGATTAAGGGGGGATACGATAGCTGACTTCAGATACTTGAAAGGCTGATACAAAAAAGATGGAAGTAGTTCTTTGTCCACACAGGGCAGGACAAGAAACAGTGGGTTCAAACTACAGCATAGCAGATTTAAATTGAATCTCAGGAAAAACTTCCTAACTGTAAGAACAAGTAAGACAATGGAACAGACTGCCTAGGGAGGTTGTGGAAGCTTCTTCACTGGAGATTTTCAAAAGGAGGCTGGACAGCCATCTGCCGTGGATGGTTTAGACACAACACATCCTGCATCTTGGCATGGGGTTAGACTAGATGACTCTTGTGGGCCCTTCTAATCCTGTGATTCTAATGGAACATGGTCTCCACATGGGGCTTCCTTGGATCTGGCATTTCTCCTGCCATTTCCCTCCCTCCCCTTCTGTTTTTTGCTTACCTTGACTTGCAGAAGGGCAACTCTTTTGTTTTTTCCTTGCCCATAAGCTCCAGGCACATCTACGGTTATATAAATAAATGGAAGAACTCTTAGTATATAGAGAGAGCTCTTAACAGATAGATCTGAAACAGATAGATCTGACAGGTGTTGCCAGGAGCTCGACACCAGGCATCTTTATCCCCATTCTACAGGTGAGGAAGCTGAGATGCAGGGAGGATAGGGTATGCTATCAATTGATAGGGGGAAGAGAGGGTCTCGATGGGTTTATAATACAGTTGGCTGGGAAAGGATTTTTGTTCCGGGGGTGGGGAGAAATCAGCAAATATGAACAGAATTTAGTTTGCAGTGAATTAGGTCTTTGAAGTTTTTTGGGATTTTGTTAAAACCCTGAACATTTTCGGAACCAGTTTTTGGCTGCCGGGGGGACTAAAATTATGCAAAAAAAAAAAACCCCAAAAAACACAACCCCCCACCAAACCAAAAACTGCGTTCCACTGAAAAAAACCCACAAACCCTTTCGATGGAAAACGAGTTTCTCCGGTTAGCATGAAACTCCGCTGGGCTTTGAAGCCCTCTCGGCCCGCCAGGGTAAGTAAGCAAGTGGGTTGCAGACGGAGCCCTGCCCTGGAACATGCTGCTGCTGCCATAAGCCCGCGCGAGCAGGAGTCTGCTGCGGTTCCATACCTGTGAAGCGCGGTGGCTTCGGAGAAGAGCAGCTGAGCACTTCCTTCTGGCGATAAGATCTTCGCTCTCATTCGTCACAGCTGGCGGCGCCCGCTGCACCGCTCGCAACTGCTTTCTCTAGAGAAGCTGCTCGGGGGGGGTGGAAATAGCGAGCGGGGAGCGGGAGAGATGCAATGCCCGGGGCTGCTCCCCCAAAACCTCGCTGCTCCTGGTGACCCCGCTCGCCATGTGATCCCGGCAGGGCTGAGGCTGGCTCCGAAATGGGAACCTTAGGGCAGAGGCGAGAGAACCCGTAAGCTTGCCGTGACTTGGCTTCGTGATCCCTCTCCACGCGGGAGCTCCCCGGCGGCGCGAGGGGATGAAGGGGCCGCAGACGCAGGCGGCAGGGAATGCAGGGCAAATGGACGGGCTGGGGCTGGTCCCGGGGCCCCTCTCCCTCCCCCACTCGCGCTGTCCCCGCACTGAAAGGCAGAGTTAACGGCCCCTGTGCCTTGGGCGCCCAGTCCCACTCCTGGCTCTGGAGAGCCCGCGCTGGGCTAGGGCCTGGGGGGGGCTTGGCCAGAGGTGCCTCGCTGCCGCGCTTGCAGGGAGGCTGGGATGAAGCCACCTACAAGGGAAAGCACTGCCCTGAGGGTTGAAATCCAGGCTGCTGCAGTAGAGTGTCTAAAGCCCGTCGGGTTCCTACCCAATTACTCCGGGGGAAAGCGGGGAGGGAAATGTGGTGGTAAAAACATCCTATTTCCCCACCTTGATTGTAACTTTCCCAGCTGGAGCTGGGCTTTGGCCTTGCTTTGGAAAGCGGGGTGGACTGAGAATACCCGAAAGTTGTAATAAATGGGGAGTCCTAGCAGGAGTGCTGTTGGCCTGATCTTGCGTCCCCCTGGGGCTGCTGTTGCAGGAATGTCAGAGCTGTGGAATCTTTGATTCTGTCTAAGGACTCTAGTCACCTGTCCCTTTGGGGTAACGTGCTTTAGTCTATAGTGTGGCGTGAGAGATGTCACCACTTCGGTGCTAGCCCTCTCACACGGGAAACGCCGCCTAGTGCTGGGTGCTAGGCCACGAGCTGACCGTTCATTACTTTGTGATTTCTTTTTCCCTTCCAAAGTTTGCAATGGAAATCCAGGGTGGGGAAAAAAGAAGCTTCTACTCCCCTTACACACGCTGACTAACTGCTGTAAGTGGATATAGTTTTAATTAATTGATTAATTCAGCTCATGTCATTGATTAGTTACCCTCTGTACCCTGCTTTTTGAAAGCAGAAAGTTGCCATGCTGTAAGCTCTTTGGGGCGGGGACTGTCTTTATTTCATGCACGGTTCAGTTCTGAGTGCGTTCTTGGTACCAGCCAAAATAAATACATGCCGGCTACATGTAACTTTTGTTTCACTGCCACTGTAATGCTGTAGCAGCCTGGCTTGAAGGGGAGGTGGAAGGGAATCGACAAAGGGCATCTTGTAAGCTGATTGGTCCCTTCCTGTTACTTAGTCCCATAAAATGAGACCATGAGGTCACACAATAAAGCTAAGGGCAGGAATATTTAGACAAAATAGGAGACATGCTGTGTGAAGAATTCTAACTTCAACAGAATGGATGGGGGTGTTTAGCATCTGCTCTATCAGCAGCACCATCATACACTAGCTTTGTATTTCTGGTGATCTGGCTTCAAGCGTGTTTATACCTGAAATGAGTTTCATGAACTACACAGCACTGTAATAGAAGAGAAATTGCAGATAAGGATTGTGATTCATTGCTAGAGCTATGGCATAGGGGTACTATTCTCTTCATGAGGCATGCATAACTCCCCTTGGAGCACAGAGCTGGAGTCAGGGATGCCCGAATTCTACTTTCAGCTCTGACACTAAAAGCACTCCACCTGTAGTTTGTCTTCCTTTATCGGTAATATACAGACAGTGGGTTTACACCAGAAACAATTTAACTCTAAAAACCTACCTTACAGGGCCCTTGCCAGACTTCATTAATTAATATCTTAAGTGCTTTTGTTAGGAAAAACTGTATTGAATAAGTATTTTATATTTACACCTGAACCTACAGGGGTTAAAATATGAGTTTCACTGCAGAGTTCGAACTGTGCATGAAGGAGATCTGCACTGCTGCTTACTGTACAAAGTTTTGTTCCAGGCAGTGCCATCTGTGTTTTACTTCCATCATCAGTAAAATTCACCCCACATATGATTTTTAACATTTTCTCTTAGAAGATGTTCCAGTGGGGTGCAGCTTACAGTCCTTGAAACAGCTAACCATTTTATCAAATAGAGCGGTGATCACTGACTGGGAACTATCAGGCCATATTTTCAAAGGCATTTCAAAATGGTGCCTGCAGCTTTGCAAATGCAAATTTGAGTACACATTTTATCTATGATTTTTGTGCCTTCTCAGTCTCTTTATGTTTGCATGAAAATTGTATTTACAAATAAGGTAAACTCAAATGCTGTTTGTAAACACAAGCTTTTTGTACTTATAAAACCTTTAGGTGTGAAAAATAGGCACTAGCAGAATTTGGGTGCAGTTTTAGTGGCCACCTTGGAAAGTCTGACTAATAAGATTGTTACTAATGATTGTATTAACTTAGCAAGAAAACTTCAGTATAAGTGGACATTTACAGGAGCAGTTAAGAGTAGAAACAAAACATGTAACTATAAAATATTCCACTGTAATATCATGCTGATATTTCAGGCATGAGCTCTATCATTATTTCTTAACAGGTTGTTTTTTTTTGTTTTTTTTTTAAGTAGATGTCTTCCAGAATTGTTCAGGGTTTGACTATGGGCTTAAATCCGTTCACTTTCATCATAGTGCCCAAATGGAAATATCCATAGGCTGGATGGTCATTACTAGGACACTTTCCCTGTGTTATAATATACATTGTTTGATTTTAGATGAAGTGTCAGATTACATGAATGCCTGTTGCTTTGCTTGGGAATTATGTTTACATTAAGATTGAAATATATAGATTTAAAAAATGAAGAGCTCTATAACAATGCTCTAAAGAGCCATTTTTCACTCCGAAAGTATATTTTATATAGCGAGGTCTCTTTGGTGCATTTGCCAAGTGGGAGGGTTATGTTTTTCACCAACCCAACTCCAGGGAGCTAATTGCCTTTTACATCTCTCCTCCTTTTCCAACCTGCAGCGGAGGCTTGTGTGAAATTTGACACTGCCTTGCTCTCATTGTACTCACTTGACTGTTGTCCTTTCCTTTAGGAAACCTGCACAAGGATGCAGCACTGCCCCTAAAACAGCACTTGAACTGAAGCAGATCAGTCATTGTACCTCCCGTTCAAAACCTACCCAGATCACTGAGTTCAGAATAACGATGCCTTTGGGACACTTAGCCAAAGGCGCCAGCCTGGAGAACCTCATTGAAACCTGCCTTCAGTCTTTTGGTGAGTGTCGTGATTTGAAACAATAGTGTGTAAATGTTTTCAGACCTTTGTACAGTAGCAGTTTAGGTAATTTGTGAAATGTTAAGATATAGTCAAGTATTTTTTATATAAAATAGGGATCTATACATATGTGTAATATATTATGAGAGTTTAGAATGATAACTTATTCTATTCTGGGAAGACACTCCTAATCAGTACAGTAAAGTTACCAGGCATTTTGAAGTGAAGTGATTTTCATTTCATTTTTTGTTACTCCATGTACAGAATGGAAAATTCTTTGCACGTGGATGGATGTTTAACAAGTAGATGTTGCAAAATGGAGAGTGCAATATTCTCAAACTGTGTAAATGTGTTTATATCGTCTAGTCAGAAATTAGAAGAGTTGTTTTGTGGGCTAGGTGCAGCAAAGTAGGAATGCTTGTTACTTAATCGGAAGAGATACTTAAAAAAAATCAGCTCTTAAGGAGAAAAGATTCAAGTGAAAAGCCTAATCATATACTTTTGGGGTTATGAATTATTCATGATTTTTTGCTTTCACCAGCAAAATATCTACATTGAAGAGCACCATTTGAGATGTATAACTTATGCAAAAAAAGACGCTTTCTGTTTTCATTAGCAAACACTATTTTTGATATTTTATGGAATCAGATGGAGGGCTTCAAAGCCTTTACAAAGAATACTTTAGATTTCTATCTGTATTTTCAAATCATTTGTTTTTTAAATGATTTATTTCTTTGACTATAGAGTGCCATTTTCTTCTGTTACTGCCAATATTATAGCCTTCCATGCTATGTGCTGGATATTTCAGTCCCTAGCAGCAGCTTGTGGCATCCCATTTATTTGTGGAGTTCACCTTTTTATAGCTGTAAACAAACATCAAAACTGTAGATTTTTCAAATGGAGATTAAGCCGAGGATGACACCAATTTTTCTAAATGTCCAACGAGCTACTTGTTGTCAGTTGCAAAAAATAGGCAGAGCAGTGGAAGTTGTATTTGTACGTATACATAGGATGAGTTGCAGTTCGGTTTCTTTTCAGTGAAGGATTTATAGGAGTTAAATAAGGCTTAGTATTGATATGGTGCTTTACCTCTTCAAAGCACTCTACAAACCATAACTAATCCTTGCAACACCCCAGTGAGGAAAGCATGCATTGTTACTTACTGATTATAAAGAACTTGCAAGGGAAGTCATATATCTGCAGAAGAAGAGAACCAACAATGCTTTTTCTCCATCTAATTTCAATCTACACATTGAATTTTACTACGTAAGAAAAGTCATTAAACCACTAAAAAGCCCTCACTCTTGCAACCCCCCCCCCGCAAATTACTAACATTTGTTTATCTCTTCAGACAAACTGAGCCAAACTAAGTGCTAAAGTAAGCCTATATATACACACACATGTATATTTTATTTGTCTTAGCTCATTAACCAATCTTCTCAATTTGTACCTATATTTTTGTAAAAGAAAAAAGGATATGCATTTTATATTAAAAGATAGCAGAATGGTTGCAGTGAGTTATTTCAAATAAGGTAGGTGAAATCCTGGCCTCATTGAAGTCCATGTCAAACACCACTTTGATGTCAATGAGGCCAGGATTTCATCCAATATTTCTATTTGTTTTAGTCAATATACATATTTATATCAATTATATTTTAATCCTTCTAAATGAATAATGCATATGTAACCATAACATTTATGGAAGAGCTTGTTTGAGAGAACTGTGTTATACTGTAGAAATCCACACAATCTTATATAAGCCAAAGGCACTTCACAATCTCTTCCATTCAGTGAGCTTATACAGTCTTTGCATCCGATGAAGTGGGCTGTAGCTCACGAAAGCTTATGCTCAAATAAATTTGTTAGTCTCTAAGGTGCCACAAGTACTCCTTTTCTTCTTGTGTGTTTTGTTTTCCTTGAAACTGTGCAAATTCTTAAAATATCTTAGGACTTCACAGTAGAGTATTTAAATAAAGCATGAAATGAGGCTGGTACAACTATGTAAAGACATTTCTTACAGAGGGTTCTTTCGAGGGTTAACTACAAACATCTTGCAAACAACCTTCACTGGAGTCCATTTCAGGAGAGGGGATGGGGAGACAAAATTTTGCTTTGTGATCAGGTTAAAAAAACCAAAAACTGTTAGATGCTAAATTAGTACAAGTCAATCAGACTGAGTGAGTCCACTCTATGCCTGAAATTGCAATGCATGCTATCCAGTTACCTTGGACTAGGGTGGCCAACCCGTAGCTCCGGAGCCACATGCGGCTCTTCAGAAGTTAATATGCGTCTCTTTGTATAGGCACCGACTCTGGGGTTGGAGCCACAGTCGCCAACTTTCCAATTTGCTGGGGGGTGCTCACTACTCAATCCCTGGCTCTGCCACAGGTCCTGCCCTCACTCCACCCCTTCCCGCCCCCTGCCATGCCCTCGCTCCTCCCCCTCCCTCCCAGAGCCTCCTGCATGCCATGAAACTGCTGATCGGGAGGGGGAGGGAAGGAGGGAGGAGGAGGTGCTGATAGGCGGAGCTGCCCCTGGGCAGGAGACGCTGGGAGCTGTGGGGGACCTGATGTGGGGCTGCTAACGTATTACTGTGGCTCTTTGGCAATGTACGTTGGTAAATTCTGGCTCCTTCTGAGGCTCAGGTTGGCTACCCCTGCCTTGAACAGTCACAGTTCTATTCCAGACTGAATTTTTCTTCCTTCTGCATCTCAGAAAATCACTTTAGAAAACATCTGATTTGCAAGGTTTTATAGATAACCACCCCTGATAAATCCAGTGCTGGAAACTGTGCAGTGTTTTACTTTAATGTTAGATCTACATTTTATTAAATTAGTATTGGAAGCACAGTAGGGAAACTAATGCTTAGGGTTACTTGTTGAAAAAGAGTTCTCTGCTATGAAAATTCAGAATATAATAGCCCCAAAAGAAGGCACACAACATACTCTAAAATGCACACTGTACATTATGCTTATCCATTAATATTTGCAATAGCACCTAGAGGTCCCAGTCGGGGATCACATCCCCATCGTGTTGGATCCTGCACACAGACAAAAACAGTTTGAAAACTGATGTGTCTAATGGGGCAATAAAGGCTGGCAGCAGTAGCGGAGTGTAGGTGGGAGCTGACAGCCCTATTCCATATCAGAGATGATAATTAGCACAGGGCCAAGTCAAGTAGTCTTAAAAATGAAGACAAATAGTTTGCACTTGTTTTGTGTCATGCATGGAAAAGGGGAAACCAGTGAAGGGATGCAATGACTGAGGAAGATGATTTTTTTTTGGGGCGGTAGCAGTGTGGTGAATGGATTTAAGGAGGGGTGGGGACAAGAGGACCTTTGTCAAGAACAGAAAGGAGCAAGTTGGAGTGACAAGATGTGAGATAAAAGAGGACCTGTATGAAGGTTTAGCAGTATGAACAGAGAGGAAAGGCCAGATCTAGGAGATGTGTATGAAGGACAAAGCAAGATTTAGGCAGAGTCTGGAAGTGTGGGTCTAGAGAGGGGGCTGGGTCAAAGACAGTGGACCTCAATGTTAGGAAGGATGTTAGTGTTGTACATAGTGATGATGAAAGTGGGGCGGGCATTAGGGGAAAGATCAAGAACTCAATTTTGGCTACGTTGAGCTTAAAGTGATAGCTAAACATCCACAAGGAATTTTCAGAAAGACAGCTTTGAATTTTAGTTGGGAAGGAATGAGGGAGGTCTGGAGTGGAAAGGTAGATCTGCAGGTATGTCTACACTGCAGTATAAGCTCAAAGTTAGTAGAACTCAAGTTAATAAACCGAGGGTCTGCTAACCTAGGGTTTGCGCATCTATACTCTTTTGTAACCCAGGTTAGGAATTACGGAACCCTGGGTCTGAACCTGAGGCCACAGCATCTGTAGGGCATTACGTGGGCCTTAGTTCAACCACCCATATCCCAGACTTCCTAGAGGCCTTTCAAAATGTAGCTGCTTTAGCCCTTTGTTCAGATGCAGCGTGAGAAAAACTTGACTGTCCAGAAGACAAACTCAGCCCATGGCATTGTGGAATGCTTTTGGTGGACTCCCTGACCATGAGTCCTATGAGGCTGTGTCTACACTGCAAACCAATAGGGCTTGATCCCTGTGTCCCAGTTTGACTCAGACTTGGACATGCCTCCCCTGTGTGGTCCTGAGACCCTGGATCTGAGTTCTGGGTTAGTGTGATTAGTGTAAAGGAGGGTGGTTAGGACTGAGCCTGCGTTTGAACCTTGCACTGCAAGATAGACATACCTTGAGTCATACATGTAAAGATGATACTTAAAAACATACTACTGAATGAGATCTGCAGAGATAGGGAGAAGACGAAACAGGCCAGGAATGGAGCTCTGTAGGAACCCCAATGAGGGCTGGAGTGAGGACGAATGGGATTCATCCTGCGAATGAAACACTGAGAGCAACTAGAGAGCTAGGAGGAGAACCGGAGAAGGGTGGGAGGACAAGCTGTTAAGAACATGGTTGATAGTTGACGGCAGTAGGCAAGTTGAGAAGGATGAGAATGGAGTGCTGGTCCTGAGAACAGGCCATGAATACATGAGAGACGTTGGTGTGAGCTGTTTCAGTGGAATAAAAGGGTGGAAGCTGGATTGGAGAGACCAAGCTGCAGCATCCCGACTGCTATTTTTCACTGCACTAGCTCAAACCTTGGTAGTGAGAGTCTACCTGGGATGGGAGACTCACTCCCAGCTGCAGAACAGTCATAGCTTTAGTGTGTGGTAATTATAATACTGCCAGTTAGCGCACAGCAAGCCAGCATGCTGTAGATTTACCTACTGGCTTGCCACACACTACATCTCAGAGCAGACAAGCCAGCAGGAGAAGCAAAGCAGAAATGTGAGGGAAGGGATGAGACTGCGCAGAGAGGGAGATCAGACGGGATGAGTTGTGGCCACTGGGACAAGTGCAGGGAGTAGCGAACGAAAGCATGAGAGAAATCACAATTTCAGTGATAGGGACAGGGAAGAGACGCTGGTGATGG